ACAGATATGAAAAAAAAAACCCAGAAGAAATAGATAAGAGCTCAGAGGAAATCTGAGGAAGACGAGGGGAAATGAAAGCAAAGGTGAAGGGTTTTTGAAGAACAACGTGTGATTCTGTGGGACTAATTGGACAGAACAAGACAGAAACAAAGACAGGGTTAGAGATGTCGTTCCCACTGAGAAAACTCTCGGTTTGAAGGATTCTACTTCAAATGAAATGACTGGTTTAAACCAGGCCATCGTCTAAAGCAGGAAAGTCCAGGGTCAAAGGTCAATGTCACATGGAATAGTAACATGGTCTGTAGTCCATTAACTAACATTTAAGATCTGGGCTATTTATCTATTAAGGTTTAAGAATTTATAGTACAATAATGAAGTTATGTTTTCATTTAAATTAATTTTATGTTAAATTTTAATTTTTAATTATTTTTTGTATAATTTCTGAGAAACAGTGTTTTTATGAGATGAGTAATGAAGAGATGTCAAGACTTTCTGACTGGACTTTTGCAGTTTTGGGGGGGGATTTACAGACTGGAACAGGCACAGGTGCAAACTGTATCAGACATTGAAAGTTAATTATCCATCCAATTAATTATTAATTATCCAAAAGAGCTCCAGTCCAGCACTGATGTGACATTTCCAAGATGCAAATCAACAGATTGATGGCTTTGTGGGTTCATGTGCCAAAGTGGCAGCTTTTTCATGGGGATAACTACTAACTAATTAATTAATTAGTTAATTAATTAAATAAAATAATGTCTCACTCACACCGCTGCGCTCATGGCTGTAACCTGTCTTTTCTCAAAGTCCTTCTCTGTCGAGTGACAAATTGATTGTGGTTTTGTGGCTGGAAACTCTGTGGGGAAATCTGTGTTCATTTAAACTCCATGTGTTGATACAGTGGGCGGTGTTTCATTAATGTGGTGTGTGTGTGTATTTGTGTGTGTGTGTTAAAACTAATTTGTGTTTTTTCTTGTTTTATTATTTCTTTTAAAACTCCTTGTGCATCACTGTAGTACTACTATTATTTTTTCTTGTGGCTAAAAAGGTCTCTTTATGTTGACACTTCTTCCTTTATGATACACAAAAGAATAAAAGAATCTATAATATAATATATAATATAATATAGTCATTAGAGAGAAAACGTTCAGTTCTCGGGGCCAGTGAGGGGCTGGTTCCAAACCTCTGGAATGAAACTGTCAGGGTGATAAATATATGGTATCAGGAGAGACAACTGTAAGAGGTCCAGTGACCTTTGACCTGAATCACTTGTATTATTGTTATTATTGGTAGTAGTACTATTGTCACTGTTTGGCCTTAAGAAGTGGGTCAGCCCTCTTCACATTCACATTACTGAGAGAGGGGAGGGGAGGAGAGGAGAGGAGAGGAGATGGGGGAAATGAGTGGAATATAAAGACAATTTAAAAAATGAAGAGACAAAAAAGCAAAGGAAAAGAAATCTCCTGTCAGTTAAAAAACTGTTGCAATTCTGGCTCAGTCACAGTCTGTGTCTCTTTTTACCTGCACAGAAGCTAAAATTAAAAGATATGTGGGTATTACATGTGTCAGTTGCATCAATTCTGATGTATACTGTATATGTATGGCAAGTACTCATAGTATTACTGTAACTCCTGTTCTAATGAGATAAATCTGTTAAGCCTCCAAAATAGATGAACAGATGACAAAGAGAAACACGTCGTGATAAAGTACAACACTGAACATGGTTAAACCTCCATCGTCCATGTCCAAACCTTCAAGACAAGTCATTGAAAACCTCAGTCATTTCTGAGTTTACAGTTTTCCCCATTTTCAAAAAACACCAACAAACTGAAGTTATTGATCTGCCTGTCACACACACACACACACACACTCACTGTACAGTCATTGGAAAAGGTTGTGTGACAGATGTGAGGATGTGAGAGAGAGGAACCGTGAAGCACAATCTGCAGATTTAACTGGAAAGTAATTAATCTCCCAGACTCACGCATACTGTACACACACAAACACACAAACACATGCTCAACAATTCCATCAACAGCTCTATGTGCACGCTGAGTCTGAAATTAGTCTGCAATCTGCTGAGCAACAAAGAGACTGCAGGAAGGAACACGAAGAAAACCACATGACGACACATGTTCAAGATCATTTAACATAAAAGTTCATTCCTGTCATGATTATCAGACAACCAAAATGTCTTAACTGCATGGTTTTAGATGCAGATACTTGGCTATTTTTATCAACGATACCCAGGCATGAAATGAAGGGAATTCTGATCATGTACAACTGCTGGAACTAATCATTTCTGTTGACACCAAGCTGCCCACTCAAAGCTCAGCCTTGAACACAAGCTCACATTAATCTGCCTGCATTACATCTCAGCGCCCACTCACTGTCTATGAAATATGTTTCAATTTGGTTTTTTAAATTTTGTTGTAAAAGAAGAAACAGTTGCTGCTGCCTGTTCAGACTCAACGTTTGTGGTTAAAGGTTGGTCAGAACGACACTGTTGGATTAATGTGGATCCTGCTGGACCCTCACCTGAGTGATGACGTCTGATCTGGGGGTCTGTCAGATTTAAAATACTAGACTTGAGGTCAAATAGGTTAGGGTTAGTTACAGTTAGTCACAGGAGTGGTTTTTACTCATTAAAGTTGCAGTTTGTTGTATGACAGGATTTTGATGAAGATGTAATTATTTTATTCCTCTTCAGTCTGTCAGGATTATAAACACCTCTGTCAACAGTGTTAATGAAACACCTGTTACCATAAGGTGATCTCTTTAGCCTAAGCAGACAATTGTGTTAAATTATCATTGATCTAACTTGAATCAGATGACAGATCGATGGATATGAAGCCTGCTGCTGTTTATTAGATTACCAGGACCAACTGTAAGTGGATTAACTGTGAGAATATTGAATAATATTTACGCTTTTCTTAGCCCGACCAGCAGACACACGATGTAAACCTCAGGGGGTTGGCTATTTGTTTTTTTATAATTACAACCTGGTGACATTTTTAATTAAGGAAAAGAGTAAAATAATACGCAAAGGAGTAATTGTTTTCTATAATGTATGTTAATATAATTATAATATATTGAATTATAGATGGCCTTGTATAATTATACTAGCTATAGTTTTATAGTACTAGCCACAGCTTTATAAACTGTGGTATATTACCAAGTATTATAAACTGCAGTTGTTCAAAATGAGTAAACATTGATGACCAAAGACTTAACACTGGAGAAGGTAGTTCGACCTCAACAGTCTTGGTGGATCTTGGTGTATTTGTGTGGAGAAACACAGTTAATTCATCAGTAAGTTTTCCTTTTAAACCAAAGGCACGATTGAGTTGATGCTGACTCGTTGTACTTTGAAATATGTTTTCCATTTTCCTTTCAGCTTTTTTAATTATCAGAATTTATTGCACAGCGCTTTCTTGCATGAACAGTTTGGGATTATTTTTGTGTGTGTGTGTTTGTGTGTATCCCGCTCTGAAGCTTATCATTTTGTCACCTTCTAAATTAGCATTTTTAACTTGCGGTCTAGTCTTTGGTGGACTCTGTGGTGTTGTTTATTATCCCACACGTTGGTTGGTGAAGTCCACATTGAGCATTAAGACCACTACCTCTGTTATCTTGCTCTAGGCCTGGTTCCATTGATTAATGTCCAGGAAATAAACCGTGGGCCATAAACTGTGGTCATTAAAACGGTTGCTTGCTGACCCCGGCTATTTCCTTTCAGTCCATTTTCATGTTTGAATAACAGCAGTAGTCACATTTACAAAATCGTGATTTCATGAAAGAGTGCAGAGGGAGACAAAAGACTGTCAATGCACTTTAACAGAGTTTGGTGTCAGTTATGCTACAGCTAACAGACAAGTACTTTTGTTTTTCTTTACAGAAGAATTCTAATTATTTGAACACCCAGCTCTGGTATTTAAAGTGTGAGGAAACAACAGAAGAAGGAAGAACAGAAAGCCCAGGTTGCTATGCGCCGGTGAACAGTGTAGTGTTGTTTCTGCTGTCTGCACAGTGAGGCTGAGGCCTGATGTCTGGCACCAGAGCCTGACACTCAGGCTGTTAGTTTGAACTCATCAACAAAGAGGGAGTGTCAGAGCGCTCTCCATCAAAAACCCTCTTAACCTTCTCTCCTCACCCCTGCGTTCAATAACTTTTCACTCACTCACACATACACACACACACACACACACACAGGATCTGCCTTTTCCATTCCACACTTTCTTCTCCCAGATTATCCTCTGCCGTCTTGAAATACTATTGAGAGCCTGATAACATGTATATTTTTATTTGTAAAAACCACTGTATGAGTTGCTGCCACCTAGTGACTGGAGGCTTGTAACCATTCAAGCATTACAGCAGTGGTACACTTTTGTCCACTGTTCCATATTCTATTGGAAACCCCTCACGCCCTCTCTGGCGCCTCACCGTGCCCCCGTAGGACCCCCGCCCCACTATTTGAGAAGCACTGGTTTAAATCCATAGATCAGACACATTGATTGTGTCGTTGATTATGTGTTCTTGTTGTTCACTATGCCCCCCCCCCACTCCCCCGTCTCTCTCGTCTCTTTAACTCAGACATCACCGTTTGTTGCTTTTATTTTTTTTGCTCAGTTCTGGGAATTGCTCTCATTTTCAGTTCTCTTTTACAGTCTTCATTTATCTCTCTCTCTTCCTCCCATCTCTGCCATGTGTCCCCCACATCCCCCTGTGTCCCATTTATTTTTTTCCACTCACTTTAATTGAATCTCATTCATGTCAAACGACTGTTATTGACACATGAAATGAAATCCTTCCACCCAGGAGAACCTCACTCCTCATGTTGGAGGTGTTCACCTGTTTGTCTCCTTTAATGCTGTAAATAGTTGTTTGTTTTTCTAAAATAAATGGACACATTTTCAGCACTTTTCTGTGAGGGATCGTAATTGGATCCAATTAAACAGTGGCACAGTGACAGACAGACGCTGACGAGCTCCGTCACCTACCTCAGTGAGGTGTGGGTTGGGGTTGAAGCCACACTGGTTACAGACGGTGGCCTTACACTGGGTGCAGGTGTTGTAATTGGGTACAGCCGGTGGGTTGGACAGCTCTGTGGTGGTGCACACCGGACACAGCTTGCTGCTGGGCATGGGAGCAATCTGGGGCACCGAGTAGGGTGAGGTGGGTGTCACGCTTCGGTCAGGAGAGACTGATGGAGACCGTCCCGTCCTGGAGCCACTGAAGTCAACTTGGAGGTTTCGACGGGACGCGTGCTGACCCGGGCTCTGACCTCCGTGACCTCCCATTCCAGATCCAGCCGGACTGTGACCCATCCCGTGGCCAGGGCCCTGACTGGACTGCATATGTCTGGGGGAGGTTGGAGTGTCGTGGGTGGCCAGGCGGTAGGGCTCGCCAGCTCTGGACCCTATACCTCCACCTGTGCCCATACCTGCTCCTATTCCTCCTCTTGTCATTCCGCCACCTCCCATCCCCATCATTCCTCCTCCACCCATTCCTCCCATTCCTCCCATGTCTCCTGCTCCATGTCCTCCTTGTTGCATGCCTGTCTTGGGGCTGCCCATTGGACCCCTGGAGAGAAAGAGACAAAACAAAAACAATACTTTTATTTTTACTGTAAACACAGAAAACTGTTTATAACAGTTATTATTACACACCACACACAGCGTTGGCAGAATCTTGATATTAAAACTTAGTGAAATAAATGAGGGCTCCATCAGCATCCAGAGACTAAAATAAGCCGTGATTGACAGTGGAGACACACACACACACACACACACACACACACACACAAACTCAGAGGTTGAGCCGCATTTAAATGACAAATAGAAATCTAATTGTTCACATCTTCTTGTTGATTTTCTCGACTCTTCTTTTCATTCCCTCACTCCATTATTTTTCACGTGACACAGACCACGGCTCTGACCCTCATGGTTTTCACTTCCTTTGTTAAATCTCTTGTTTTTGACATTTTTATTTCCGCTCTCTGGAGGCAAGTGAACCCTAAGCGACCCTGTGTGTCTTTCCCATACACCACGTGTGCCAGTCAGAGGAAACTTCTGGTAAATACTGAAGCAACAGCGACAAAAAAAGGATTCAGCGCAGCATTCAGAGACTGATCAAATCTGCCTGTTCACTGTGAAAGCTGTACATTTGTTTGTCTGGGATGTTTCAAAGTTTATTAGATGAAAATTTAATTTCAGAAATTTTCAAAACAGTAGACATTTCATTGTTTCTTCCCTTAAAAAACAAAAGGGTAAATTAAGCCATGGAAAAATAACTGTTAAAAAAACAACAAAGAAAAGGAGCTGTGGGTTTTTATTTTTGTTCTGGAGAAAAACACCATCACTAATTGTGTGAAAGTGAGGCTCACACAGGTGATGTTCAAGTGTTCCGTTCTGTATGTGTTTACAGTGTTTTTCTCAGTGTTTCACAGGGGACGTTTATCACTGTCACACCTGACTGAGAATGATTCACTGGACTGAAGACAATGTGATTCCACTCCCATTTAAATCTTTTATCTAAGGAGGAAAATGATGAGACTTGTTCAGTAGTCACGTGTGAGTGGCACTGAACTACGACGAGTGCTTCTGTACACACAGTAGACAGACTGTATTTCATCAGAACTCCAGACTAAGCCTTCTCTCAGCTGAGGTGAGGACATTAAGGCTTTGATTCTAAAACCTAAATATCTGGGCTCCAGCTCCGGCCTGTGACTGCACAGATTCCATCACCAGCAGCAGATGGCAGTGCAAGTATCCTGAATGTTGTAGGTTTAGCTTAGTACAGCAGCAGGAGGAGGAGAGGCACGGAAGATCATTAATCACTAGGACAGAGGAGGGGAAGAAAAATGTAAGATAAATATGGAGAGCATGTCTAATTAACCTCCATGGTTTTGACATAGAGTGCAGTTCTGTCAAAGTCTGAAAGACGCTGCAGGATGGGGGTCAGAGAAGTACTTCTCAGGTTCAGCTTGGTGTCGGAGTCAACTTTTGTTCGTCTACAACACATATAAGGCAACTAAGGCATGTTTCTTTTAGATAAGAACAATTAATTCTTTAAACCTTATAACCATTTCCTCTGTTTTACCTTATGACTTTATTATCATTGTAACTATCTAAAATCTAAGACTTGTAATCCAGTGATGCTCTCGAACCATTAGAGTGAACCAGGCTAGCTTGTTTTGCAGATGTTCTAATGGCTCTAGCGGCTCAGTAGTGTACAGACCATGTTTGCTTGATTTATTTTTTTATCTGTGAAACATAATAAGCTGATGGTTGTTTTCTATAAAACAAGCTAAAAATGGCTGACTCCAGTCCAAACCTCCATTGTCTTTCAGATCAATTCCCAACCAGTAACCAAGTGTTCAGCCACAATAGCACTTAGCGAGAGCGTCTCTGACCCTGATGTTCACAGAGTTGTTTTTGCAGTGGTTTTTCTGCACTTGGTCTCAGCTTGGACTTTTTTTTTTCAATCTTTTCACTATGTATATAATCGTAGATTTCTGAAGAAACATTGTTTCTAAATGGACAGTGCTTGTGTGGTTGACCTTTGGTTTATATCCAAAGTTGTTCATTCATCTGTTACCAGTTGTTTTTTAATCTTGTTAAATATATTTTGACTTATATCTGAATTTTTATCACTTGAATGCACCCGCCCACACTATGGATTCTTTGAGGTTTTTTGGGGGGGTGGGCAAGATTTTTTCAACTTTTCTGTGTGCAACAGATAGAATTCAAACTTTAAAACGATTTTATTTTGATTTTCCATCACATAGATTTTTAATCAACCTAAGGACAACTGTGTTTTATTTAATACATAAACCCAATATGGACACAAGACAAAGTATAGTTTGTGTGCTATCGTCTGATCCCGGTGCCTTTATGTGGCATATTCTTTCATCACCTGCAGCAAAACAAGTCTATTTAGGTTGTTGGTGGACCCAAACTAAACAGCTATTTTTCTTCTCCTCCATTCCTTCCCACACAGGGCTGTTGACAGAATTGCTTTTGTACGGCCCATTTATTCCCACCTGCTTCCTCCTCTCCCGTTTTTCCCTTTACTTTACCTCCCACTATTTTCTTTCCATCTGCTTTTCTTTGCTGTTCTCTTTCCATTTATCTTATTTTCTCCCTTGACTTTATACAGATTGATGAAAAATAAGTTTATTTCACATTTGAGCCCATATTTGTGAGACTTAAGGCCAGAGAAATAGGGACTGTTTTCCACCTGGGCTCTTTTTAAAATCTGTAGTGTCACATAATGAAAAAAAGTAGAATTTTTAATGGTCGAATTAATTCATAATTAAGTAAAATACACTGATTTTAATTCAACACAAATCCATCAGAACAGTTCTATAAACCTTACACCCTATGTCCTGTGTTTTGTCGCTTACACTTGTGATGCAGGAGAGTTTTTCTTCTCATTCATTCTTCACTCATCTCAGAAAAGCAGAGTCACTCCTCAGTTCAGACTGAAAACTCATCCTGTGAACGAGCAGTGTGTGAGGTCACCGTCTGAATCATATCTCCTCTCACTCATTTGTTTATTCTCGGCTCTTCTCTTTTGTAGTCACAAAAATAACTCCAGGCTACTGTTTCTGTTTGGGGATCTTGTTAATTTTAGCCTCATATTTGTGAACATGCAGCAGGAACAAGAAATAAAGACAAATATCAACATAAAATACTGGGTAAATATTAGGGATGGCTCCATACAAGTATTTCATGACCCTTAACAATACCGATACTGCAACTTGGAGTATCTGCCGAAAACGGATATCAGTCCGGTACCTTCTTTTCTCCTTGTTGTACATTGGTAGTACATGTTGATATTACATCACCTGCAGCCAGTCATGTTGCTAGTCCTGTTTCTACTACTGTTTCTAGTACTGTTATTTGCTTTACCATGTAAATCAACATGACACTTATAGCACTTCTATGTGCTATACACACATACATATACTAAACATATACACTAAACACACACATACACCACAGAGACGCTGAATTCCATAACCACTGATGACTGATTCATTCTGTGACTAATACTTGGCAACCCTGAATAATTGGAGCAGATCAGTTTGTCATGTCACTCTGATATTGGTGCATCTGTGATTGTCCACCGCAGCTTTAACGGCTGGGACATTTTCACCTAAACTGCCTGAAATGTATTGAAAAACATTCACCTCACGTCCATATAACCTGATTAATGTCCATATCATATTAGCTGAATTACAACTAAAACAGAGAAGAGTGGGAGCTCACACATGCTGTACTGTACTATCAACAACAGCACTAATGTTTGATGGTGCAATGAGCAGCTCAGTGTGGAGCTTTGCAGAAAATGGCTGTGTAATGATCCCACATGGCGCTGAGTAAAGGCTACAAACACTAAAGTAAATTTAAAGGAAAGTAGACCCGTAGACTGTGAGATGAGTTACACCAGCCGACACCTGCAGTCTCTAAATGGCTGCTGGCACTAAAACAGAGTCAGTGGTGGCAGGAACTTACTCTTCTATGTAATTGACCATCCCACTGCACAGACTGGGGCTGTGGGCAAATACTGTGTATAAGAGCAGTGGACAATTAGTCTGCCCCTCACCTTAGTTCCTCCATTATCTGTGGCACATTTACATGGTGAGTAGTCTCACTGATGAGAGTCTTAATCTTCAGCTGTGGGTTTTCTGTAGATTTTGATGTCATTAAAAGGACGTCATGGTTGATTCATATGAGTGGACAGAGTGTGTGATTCACACATCACCTTCTCCTGCTGCTGCATGGTCCAGCTGGCAATTAGACACAGTGTCCAATTAAATTAGCTCACTGCATACTCCAAGTCTCTACATCGACAAAATCAACAATTTAGTCCAAAACAAAAGTAATTACAGCAATTTAGGCTTTGGAAAAAATATTCAGTGATCAATCAGGTTATTGACTTCCACTACTGCTTCTACTGCAAGGGCTACGTCTACCTCTGATTTACAGAGTTCAGAATGAAGAGATGATACATTTACTGCCA